CTAAGCATTATCTCACTATGTCCGTAGATGAGCCATTTTCTAGCCCCTTGTCGTATCATAATATTATAGGAAACCTCCGAGTATCTTACCTTGACATGTCTTTTTTCTCATAAAGATCTTAGCGACTTGTATTATTTTCTCATTTTTTAGGCTACCCGGACTATTAAGGGTCTTATTTTAGCTTAATTCAAGTATATGAATGATATTTTGCTTCACTCTTGCATGCATGAAAGTAATTCAATTGCCACTATTGCTTGTCCTAAGCATCATCTTACTATGTATGTAGGTGAGCCAGTTTCGACCCCTTGTTGTACCGTAGTATTATGAAAAATCTCCAATAACCGACTTTGACACAACTTAATGTTTCCTATGTTGTTAACCAATTCATTCAATTTATGCACTTTTCTATCACCGATCGTTGGTAGGCGATCAAACGAATCCTTTGTTAACTCTCGTTCTCATGGTTTGTTGATCCGACCTTTGCCTTATTTGCATAAATCTATTTATAGTGATGCTGATTGGGTATGTAATATTTCTTGGCACTAATCTGTTATCTTGTTATTCTCGTAAACAACAAATAGTGTCTAAATCATCCATTGAGATTGAATATAGAGCCTTTTCTATAGGCTGCTTTTGAGGTTCCGTGGTTGTAGTCTCTGCTTCATGAATTACATTTGGCATCTTCTCCTGCTTTCATCTTATGGTATAATAATCTAAGTGCTATATATCTCACTCATAATCTACTTTTTCATCCTTAATCTAAACACTTAGAGATTGATTTTCACTTTGTTCATGAATATGTTGGTACATGAGATCTAATTGTTCCTTATATTTTCATAAAGGATCAAATTATAGATTGGTTGACCAAAGCTCTATCTAGTCGGTATTTCCAATTTCTTTATGATAAATTGATCGTTCGAGTGTTTCCCAACTCAATCTGGAGAGAGGGTGATAAGATAACAAATTGAGTTAAGACTCTATTCAAACATAGTATAGATAAAGTAGGATTCTATTCAAACATAGTACGGATGCACTAGAACTTCTTTTGAATATTTAAATCTCAACTATTATATCTTTTTGTAACCTATTTATAGCTAAATATACGGTAGTTACCGAGTGTGGAATTTATCTAATTATAATTTTTTTCATAATTATAAGTGGTTGCGAAACAAAGCTCTCCTACTTTCACACCACATAGTTTTCATAACTTTATCCATTTAGATTTTGACCATACATCCACCTACCACCCTATTTGTGCTTTAATAGTATTGTATAATCTTCTCATGTCTCTTACTATTTACACTCACTATACTTGATTGGTATATTACTATGTTTATAAATCATAATACTAGTTCATAGCACTTTAACTTATCTGCTAATATGTCATTGAATTGTTGTCAATAACCCCTCATACACCAACCAAGATAAATTTAAAAGTAAAAGAAGAATATTAAGAAGAATAAAAAATATAATAAATTAATACAAACTCAAGAATTGAATATTTAATTAATTACTCTTTATCTAGTAAAGTTCATTTCATTCTTGATATTTTATGACTTTAAGCAACCTCTATGGTTATGGTTTCACGAATTCATTCTCACTCGTGCCATCACTTCTTCTCCTTTAATTATTTTTTTATTTGAAAATTAGATATATTATAGGATTAATTTATGTTCTAAATAACTTTAAAAGATTAGGTTAGTCATGGTTAAAAAAATTGTTATCTTTCTTGATTTTTTAGTTTTAATAGAGTAACGTTATGGGCAAGGAAAGACAACTTATATGAATGAAGTCTGTATATGGTTGAGAGAGAGAGTGGATCATAGACCGTGGAATAGGTGTTAGCTAATACGGTGTAAGGTCAACAACAAGAGATATAGAAGGGGAAATGGCATATGGGACTGCAGTATTAAATATGGGACTGGAATAGAAAATATGAAAAGTGAGACAAACTATAAAGATGATGTTTCGAAGGAATATAGGATGAGAGAACGAGATGGTATAAAAGGATGAGGTTACGTGTGGGACTATGGTACTAAGTGTGTTACGACACTAGAAATTATAAAAGAAGAGGCGGGTTGTAAGGACTTTATTTCAAGAGAAATACGTGATGGGGAAGCATAGGGCATAGAAGGAAAGCTGGATCAATAATAAGAGTGATACTAGAGTGACTTACGATGGATTGTGGAGTACTAATGAATCCTTGCTTGACATGACAAATGAAAATACATGTTTAACAAACAAGATATGACGTGAGATATGCATTTTTTGGTAGACAAATTATAACATATATAGCCTTTAAAATTTGTACTATCTCCTAAGAAAACACGGACGAAGAGCAAGGAGCAAGTTTGTGATTAGTATATGGTCATAACTATAGATAAGATAAGCAACCAAAAATTTTAAGCTCACTATATGTGGGTAAGGTGTAAAAAAGGATGAAATAAGGAGACTTGTTATAGAGGAGGGACGTAGGGAGTCCGTTGATTGTATAAACGGTAGCATCAAAGGCATAGGTATAGAAAGATAATAGGACAAATGCATGATGAAAGAGTGCTAAGCTTGTTTCAACAATATGGTAGTGTTTTTGCTCGGTACATCCATTTTATTACGGTATTTTAGGACTTGCACTTATTTGAGAGATACCATTTTCTATAAGGTATTTGGTTAAAGCTTGATATTCTCCTCCCAATTCGGATTAAAATTGTTTAATAGATTTTTCAAAGAATTTTTTAACAACATGTCCGAATTTAATAAAACAACTAAGAACTTTATATTTATGGTGAAGAAAAAATTTTCAACAATATTTACTGTAATGATCATAAAATAAGACATAGTACGAATAACCATCAATAGAAGGTACGGAAGAAAGACCACTAAACATCAAAACAAATCCATTCTAAAGGGGCCTTAGCCTTATAACTAGATTGATGAAATGATAATTTATGAATTTTGTTGATTGAACAAGCATGACATCATAAGGAATGTGGTTTGAAAAAAGATAAATTAGCATCCTTCGAGGCACATTGAACAACCTTGTAAAAGGCATGGCCAAGACGAGCATGCCAAGTCCCAAAAGTTACACTCGTGAGCTTGAATAGAACACAAACAGACTTAAAGTTTGAGTTGAGGAGAAAGAGTAGAAGCCATTGTCAAGAGTGCCTTCATAGAGAATTCTATGTGTAGCCAAATCCTTTACAAGAAATTTAGTAGAAAAAAATTCAAAAGACCATAAGTTATTCTTTGTGAAAGTACTGACGAGATAATAAATATGAGTAATAGGAGTGTGTTTACCATCAATCAATGACACTTCAACAGGGCCATGATACTCATTGTGAATGACCTGGTTTTTCAGTTACGCTATCATATAGTGAGTCACACCAGTGTTCACAATCCACTGAGAGGATTGGGAGAGGAGTTAGAGAAAGCTAAATTAGAGGAGGGTTTATTTGTACGGTTGCTAGGATGTGATTTTAGAGAGGGACATATATTTGCAAGGTGACTAGTGACATTACAATTAAAGCAGATAATAGGACTAGAGGCAACCTATACTGAAGTAGAAGCTGGACCCCTTGACGAGAACCGTATGAAAGTGATCGTCCATCAAGATGACCACGACCACGACCACGACTAGAAGGCTGACGAGTGGCATAACAAGTAGAGATAGGAATTTCTGTAGGCTGGAGGCCATCTTGAAGTTGAAATTTTTCACTTAAGTCAAGACGATACAAAGCCTCATAAATGATAGCATCTTGTTTGGATTCTATAGAGCGGAAAAAAGGTTGATAAGAGACATTGAAGCCTCATTATAAAGCTTGAACCAAGTCATCTTTAAGTACTAGTGATCCAATGGAGTGAAGGAAGTCATAGATGTTCTTTCCGCGCTGGAAATATTGAGGAATGGATCCAGACGATCATTAAACAAGATGATATAGATTATTTTTAAGGTGATTGATCTGAGTCCGGGTCCCTGAACCATATGCAGCAGCGAGTTTAAGCCAAGCTACCTTGTTGTTGGTGAGCCAACCATAAAAGGAAAGACTGCCTCCATGAGTGAGCCAACAATCTAGGTGAGGACCAACTGGTCATGGCGTTCCTAGGAAATGTTAACTGGATTTGGTTCAATTGCAAATAGGTTGGCAGCAGGTGGAGATTGGGAGCCATCAATGTGATTGAGGAGACCATGATAGCTTAAGAGTGGTTGAAATTGAGTTTGCCAGAGGATAAAATTGGTGGGAGTAAGTTTGATTAAGTTTTGGGAGTTAAAACTTGGAAGCGATGGGTGGATCATTGAAAATGAAGGAGTTGCTGGAACAATAGCAGCGTTTGATTGTGTTGCAGTAATGGGAACAGTAGTCATTGTGTGGCAGCGTCTAGTGTATGAAAAGAAAGAAATAGAAAAGAAATTTGGACTGTTAAGCCTTTTCTAACTCTGATACCATGAAGAGTTTAAGAATCTCTCTCTTATGTCTAATGTATATTCAAATATTGTGTTTATAATATATATATATAAGAATTAGTTAGCTAATATAATACTAACTGTATAAAGATAAGAAAGATGAAGATACAGAGTTAGGCAATGATCCTATAAAAATAATTCTGATCCTTATCATAATGGACTTGAAGTCATTCCTTCTTTATTTTAATAATCTAGTACATGTTGATCAAAACCCTAATTATAAATTACGAAACAAAGGATAATCAAACTATTGGAAACAAAATATTGATCTTATTAATGGATGTGAAAGTGACAACACACTGAACAAAACAATATTCACGAGACTTTAATTTTACAAATGTAAACAATTTGAAACCAGACAAACTTTCATGACGATCGACTCTGACTCATTTAAGTATACAATCAAAGACATTGGGACTTATCGGCAATATATAAATAAATCAAGAAGCTTATTCAAACTATACCACCATCTTCTTTAAAATAATTCTTTTCTACCACAGGCTTGTCCTGCCAAGAATAGAATAATATCTCAGCCTGTGTCTCATAGAGAGCTCAGTATCATTTCTTGTTGTCCCTGGCTTCTTTCTGGATCATGCCTTGCCAATTCCTCTAATAGTATTGCAAATCTCTCCATGACTGGAGCACGTAAGGAAACTAACAACATAACCCCACGCTCTCCGTTCCTGAATCTATAGGGCAGGAAATAGGTTCCAGCATTAGAAATTTCATCAGGCATAGCTTTAGGGGGGCCAGTATAAACTGTCTTACCCCATCCATAGTCCACCTGATCAAACCCAATACTTGTTAAGTCTGACACAACATATGACTGTAACCCTATAGGCTGACCTTTGGTCATCTCCATTAGATCAGCCAAAGACCTCATGTACTCCTCAGTTATTCTATCCTTGGCATTCCTTAGCAACTCCACTGCATACCCTAATGAGTTTAAACAAAGCTTACTAGCATTTGTTACAGCTGCTGGCAAAGCTAGCACGTTACCATAATATCCTTTAGGTAATGGAGGGTTAAATTTGGAACGTGCATTGACAAGCAATTGCATGCGCATCTCCTCATTAGGGTTTGCTTGAGATGCTATGGCATAGCATCTCCATAAGCATGCACTTATTACCTCAAAATTTGAACATGGGTGTAAATGAGAAGGAATCCATCTACGGATGTTGGATAATTCTTTGCGGCTAAGAACGAAACTACGGTGGGCTACACGGTGAACCTCGCCGTGGAATTCTGGAACGGTGATTGTGGGATCAACAATAACAGGATTATCATTGCCATATTCATTGTGTTTGCATGTAACGCGTGGTGGATTCCTAGCACAGAGGAGTTCCCTTTTCCACACAGGTAGAATTGAAGGGGCTTGAGCACCTCTTGCAATCTCACCTATGGCATTCAATAGCTGAAGTATGCCCAATGCATCAGCCATTGGGTGATTAAGACGGAAACCGAGTACAAAACCACCACACTTCAAACGTGTCACCTGTTAAAATACGTAAAACTATTAGAATGTAATTTAAGGAAATATTACTTCTACGTGTAGCATCGCCAAAAAACAATCTTAATCCAAAACGTTAAATTGTATTATTAGATTCAAGAAAATAGTTTTTTTTTTTAATATATTCTGTACCAAACATAACATAATTATATAAACAGGTAGCAAACCTTTTTTTGACATGTTCCTTCTAACGTAATCTATATTATAAAAAGATAATAATAGCAATAATGAATGAATAAACCTTAGCCAATTAATGTTTTATACGTACTTGAAAAAGCAACAATGGGGTATTGACGATCCCTATTGTTCCTGGGACGTTGTAAAGAAGTTCCTCAAAGCATGGGAATGGAGAAGGAATCGGGTCACCAAATTGCTCAACCGTAGCATCAGCATCGGCTTCAATGAACAAGACACCCTCACCAGTACAATCAACTATAAGCTTATTGTCTGGCCCTTGTCTAAGCCTACCAGCAAAAGGGTAATAATACACGAGTGCTTGTGCAATTGCCTCTTTTATTACCTTCACAGGATCTTTCCCTTGCATTGATGGATTGTGTGCATACAAGTTGAAATGTGGGGATTGAAATTGGAGATATAGCTGGCGATCAATATCAGAAACTTGTCTGAATTCATGAGGTGTGGCCTTAGCTGGTGCAAGCAATTCAGGTTCGGACCTTCGGACCGCAAATGATATGGAAGTATGTGTTGCCATGGCAGCAAAAAGTGTTTGCTGCAAACTGTGATCAATGGTGGCTATACCACTACTGTCAAGCTAGAATATTTTGTTCGAAATGGGATGCATGTTGTTGCAAACTTGCTACATTTTTATAGTAATTATGGATTGTTTGGACACATTCAGTAGGTGGGAAAGTCGGGAACTGTTAATTAAGCTACATGATTATGATGATATATAAAACCTTGACTTTCTCAATCAATGATGTATTCATCACCAACTAAACACCTAATTCACTATTATTCTGATTTATGTTTCTCTACTGCTATAGAATAATATAATATTATTTTATAATTTCATCCAATAATTTAAATTTAAATTTTTAGCTTGAAAGGGTTATTTGACTTCCGTAGAAGAATCTTTCAAACATTTCAAACATAAGTGAAAATTAAAGAGAGACAACAAATTTTATTTTGGGCATGGAAATCTGATAAAAACAAAGCCTTGTAAGGTATTCTATGTCGCTACTCGACATCGGACGAGACCCTCCAAAGAAATTAAAGTCCGAGCGTTAATTATTTACAAATTATTTACAAAGTTTTGGAATCGTTACCTAGTATTGAAGGAATTAGGAACTTAAAAAAAGCACTGGTTCGGAGATTCCTAAAGCAAGGAGTTGGTTACACTTTTAGGAAGATATTTAATCACCTAAAAGTGCCCTTTTTTGAAAAATGGTACCATGTATGGTTTAGTTCTAAATTCATCTTCTAAAATTTCATGTCAAACTATTTTCTAATTTTAAACTCCTATTTTTTTAAAAAAAAAAAAAATTAGTTTGGGCGTGACATCGTATTGAAAAGATCGTCGATCCCCTTCGTCGAGCGACACGTCGGTTCAAACATCGGATCCACTAAAAGCCTTGACACAACCAACGTGTCGGAGGACGTCTTAATTAAAAGGTGATTTTTGGTGATGTCGGTCCCTATCAAGTAGGAGACTTCGTCGAAAATCTTGAATATTCTTTTTTGTGACATTAGTCCCTATTAGATAGGAGACTTCGTCAATTTATTTATTTATTATTATGTTTTTTTTTGTGTCGTCGGTCCCTACCAAGTAGGAGGCTTCGCCAAAATTTTTAGGCATTTTTTTATAACGTCGGTCCCTATCGGATACGAGACTTCGTCAAGATTTTTTTATTTTTTTGGCAATACATATTAAAGAAAATAAAATAAAAAAATTGAAATAATAATTCTAAATTAATATAAAAAAATGACAAGGAATAAAAATAAACGAGGCTAAAAAAATAATTGAATAATAAAAGAAAAAGATAAAAATAAAATAAAAAAATCATCTTATACCTAAACCATTAGTTTGTATACAAGTTTTTTAGAGAGATTAAAATAATTCACAAGATTAGAATGTATCATCTTAGAGATCTTAAATAATGTTTTCAACAGGAGAAAACCAATATGAGAATTAATGTTTGCAATGAATATTGTATTCTTTTTTCTTTGTTAAAATTTTTTTCCCATCGAGTTTTTTTCTAGTATGGTTTTAACGAGGTATGTTCCTTGTATAATGAACATTCAAGAGGGAGTGTTATGAAATAATAAATGTTCATATACTTTTCATATCCTCACTACTCATAATTCTTAATGTGATTCAATTCATCATTCAATTTGAAAAATTGAAAGGATAATGCAATTGATTCAACAATTTATATACTTTTAATTACTCATAATCTCTTCCAATTCTTTTCTTAATTTTGAAGCTTATAAATAGGCTTGATTGTTCATTAGTTTGTACACAAGTTTTTTAAAGAGATTAAGATAATTCACAAGATTAGAATGTATCATCTTAGAGATCTTAAATAATGTTTTCAACAGGAGAAAACCAATATGGGAATTAATGTTTGTAAAGAATATTGCACTCTTTTTTCTTTGCTAGAATTTTTTTCCCACTGAGTTTTTTCCTAGTATGGTTTTAACGAGGTACGTTCCTTGTATAATGAACATTCAAGAGGGAGTGTTATGAAATAATAAATGTTCATATACTTTTCATATCCCTACTACTCATAATTCTTAGTGTAATTCAATTCATCATTCAATTTGAAAAATTGAAAGGATGATGCAATTGATTCAACAATTTATATACTTTTAATTACTCATAATCTCTTTCAATTCTTTTCTTAATTTTGAAACCTATAAATAGACTTGATTGTTCATTAGTTTGTACACAAGTTTTTTAGAGAGATTAAGAGAATAATTTGAAGTTCTTCTCACTTGTATTTACTTTATTTTATAATGAATTCATTTTCTTATTATTTTTCTCTTCAATTCTCCTATTGTTTCTAGTTCTTTTATAACGAGCATTGTATTTATTATGTTTCTTAATATTTATAAAAATTCAAAGGGGACAAACAAATTAGAAACAAGAAAATATCAAATTTAATGTAATTATTCTCTATTTAAATGCATGTACTCAATTTAAATGAATAGTTGTAAGTACTTCCGATGAGATATTTCCGTCTTGAATGTATACAAAAGTGCCGGCCAATTGTCCTCAAGCTATACAAAAGAGCCGGCCAGTTTTCCCAAACTAAACAAAAGGACCGGCCAATTGTCCTCAAGTTCGGAACATAAGATCATGTCAATTGAAATTTTCAAACTTGACTACTATGTTGTTTCCTTGTACAGGCACTTGCAAATAATAATGAAGGTGGAAACATCTTCTTCAATTTCGTTTGGCTCTGCCCAGTAGCTACTCAAATATTTTTATTATTATTATTATTTTTACTACCAACTTCCAAAGCATTGACTTTTTGAGAAGCATCAACATGGATGCATCGACTAGCAATACCATATATTTGCGCAAAACCATGCCTTCCTCTACATTTTTAATAAATTTGATTGACGTTAATAGCTAAAAGCGTAAAACCTCTTCTGAATTTTAGTTCATGTAAAAATTAGTTTCTGAACATTTATTTTATGTTTTTATTTTTCTGAATTTTTTTTCAGTCATCTATGATTTTCAATTATCACTCGTTCTTTTTAAAAAAATTCAATTCTTAGTATTTTGACTTAAAATTTTGCACACATATTGAAAAATATCCAATCCAGTAAAAAAATTTCATAATTTTTCAAGATCGAGAAATATATAATTTTTTTTTAATATTAAAATTAAAGAGTTTTAGATAAATCTCACTAAATGATTTCCACCATAAAGGTCTTGATGTAGCAAAAGATCAGTGCCTCATAACGGTAATTATGGTTGACCATGTCATAAATATATCGTAAGCAAAGTAATTGCGTGGCCGGTCTAGGAAACAAATTATATTTGTCATTAACATGCTTGTTACATGTTATTGTCATCTACTCATATATATTATGTTTTAAGATGGGACAAAACGTTTTTGAGTGCTTGAGATGTCCATTAAATGATCAGTTTTGATCGTTTATTTTATCAAATATAAGAAATTAGGTTTTTTAAAAAAAAACTTTTGATAATGGAATAAGTAAGGAGGTTTTTTATATATCTAAGTTATATATTTGAGAGTAAATAACTAACTCAATTTATTTTTATAGAATATTCTTTCATACGTATTTAAAAAATTTTAAAATATTCAATCTCTATTTTAAAATACTCAATCTCCCATATATATATATATATATATATATATATAGGCAGTTAAGCTGAATGCAGAAGACCAATGACTTACAGAACAGTAATCATAGTTGACCACTATAATGCAAGCAAATTTGTGTGGCAGCATAGGAATCAAATAAAATTTGTAATTGATTTAGCTGTTACACATTATATCATCTACTCATCTTATGTTATAACATTCATACCTAAGTTGCTCCTTATTCAAAGATTTTTCAGCTATATCTCAGTCAGTTGCTAAGATAATATGAACGTAGATTCATAGCCCCAAACAAGCATATCAATTCACACCAACTCATGACCACTAATTGAGCTACCTAATCACAATTTATTTTGTTAAATGATGATGATTCCAGAGTTTAGATCGTTGGATCAAAACAAAATATAAAATTTTATAATTTTAATGTCTTCTTGCATACTTGGCAATAGTAAATTAAGAAGATATCATGTTGAAAGAAACCAGTAAAAGTATTTTCATATCAATTTTTATTTATAAGATTAAATTTCTTCTCAATTAGGTCTTAATCAAATGCAAACTGATTGTGTCTCGTGGCTTTCTCTAGAATTCAGATTTTAGATTATAACATGAAGAATAAATCTATTTATCAACCAATAGTGAATCCATCCATGATTTTGGACTTAATGGTTGAAAAATCTTTTAAGTTGTGAAGACGGAAGTAGATGAAAAGTTAACCTATAATTTAGAATGCTAGGTTTATAGGTCTATTAGTTTTTTTTATTATTATTACAATTTTAGTTGTTCATACTATAAATAGAGATAACATCACTTGTATTTATAAACCGTTACTTAATAAAATTCTAATTAAAAATTTTAGTACGGAAGTGAAGTAAGTATAATTATCGAATTACATAAATCTTTATATCGTGTGATTATTTTTATTTTTTATTCTATTTTCTTACTTGATTCGTTTCCTAATAAGATTATATTAATGTAAGTATTAGTCAATCCATAAAACTAAGTAATTAGGTGAACGGAAAATATGAGTTTTCATTCTACACTTAACTTTGAGATCAATTGCTAATCATGATTTAAAAATAGAGATAACTTACTAGTAGAACGTGCCATTTTGGGGCTTAAAACATTGATATAAGCTAGAAAGATAAGCATTGAACTAGCTAATGCCTACATGTACATAGTATTCAAATATCAAAATGTTGCGTGGTTTCGTTTGTGTATTTTAAATATATTCTTTGCTAGTGCATATCCAGTTGACTCGCTATAGAGGTAGGTTATATTTTCAAGAAAAAAAAAAAAAACAATATATTAGTAGGTATGAATGTCTCCAAGCTAGCTAACAGCTTCTTCATACATGCATTCCACCTTGTCGATGATTATGACTTTTGAGCAATATATA